GTCATTAGTCCTCCACCTATCGCGGAAGGTGGTGGTAGCAGATATCGCAGATCTGGCGCCGACATATAAGTCGGTTTGCGGGCTTTTCCCCAACCAGGTATCTCCCACCAGGGGGGAAACCATCCAGCGGGGGGCAGCTCTAAGATCGAGACTGGTGACCCGGCAAGTATGTGAAAGAAAGGAAGTGGCAATATATCAATGAAGAGGAAGGAGAGATACCGTGTGGCTCGTGGCCCCGTTGTTAGGGTACTCGCCTGGTGTTGATCGGATAAACCACTCGCTCGGCGACAGAAACGCTGCTGTGGCAACAGTTGTGGTACTGACCCATGTTATCCCAATCCAATTTTCTTAAAGTGTTTTGGGAGCAGGAATATGTTCTCGTTGATCGTACGGTCGTACGTATTGTCGTCGACAGAAACACGGCCTCAAAGATGGCAGGCAAATGGATTGATTGATGGATTGTTAGTGATACAAAACGCGTCAACGTCAACCAGATGGCGATGATCTTCCCCTGATGGATGGCGAAATCCGGCGCCGACCCACCGTCGGCGTGCGAGGTATCCCCCACCAGTGGGACGCCACCCCAGCCGGGTTGTGTAGTGTAGTACACAGTGTAGTGTAAGTGTGCACAAGGGGCGAGGATAGGATAAGGAAGGGGAAGGAATGATCGCTCGCGGACCGTGGCCTGTTTGTTACGGTACTGCTCCGGCATTGAATTGAATTGAATTGAATTTGCCTTATATTACGTGCCGAGAGTCGGGCCATGAGGCTTGCTCTTCCGTCTGACCACGCAAATTTCGCTACGCTCCTTTCATCTAGCAGAGAAAGGAGGTATTTCTTGGGCGAGAAACAGGCGATTTTGAATTTAGCTCAGGGGCGTCATTTAGGCTTGAGGATCTTTTACATGCAAGTAAATCTACCAACATGGGACAGCCGGCTTTACTTTCCCTCCGAAGGAAGGCGTACGAAGGATTTTGTCGCCCGAAAAATCCACGGCTTCGATCGGGTTTGAACCCGCGGGTATAACAGTCCGGTACGCTAACCGTCACACCATCGCCGCCGATACCGAGGCATTCGCCATGTGTTGTTTGGAGAAACCATGGAAAACTATCGATCAGAGCAGACAACCGCTAGAATTCTCCTCCAGACAGCGGCTGAATTCGTCCTAGCTGATCAGCTAGTGTCAAAAAACCCTACCCCCGTCGGGACTGGAACCTAGGACCTCCCGGTTAGAGGCTCTTCAGATGGGTGACGGAAAGCTTTGATCAGTTTCACACAGCGGGAGCTTATAGCTTGCCGCATAAATATCACATATGAATGGTTTTAAATTCGGGCGGCTTCCTGCACATGTTGCATAAAATATTGAAGACTCTATTGCACTACAACAGTACACCCTAAATTGTAGTCCATGATGATATAAAACTGGGAAAATATTTAAATGGAAGAGAATTAATGGAGTTTTGGTGGAACAGATCTACCAGGCATCATTTTAGTCTCATTTTGACATTCCTTGAAAGAATGATAATTTATAACTTCGGAAGACATCGATGCTGAATACAAATCAGGATTGAACTTAATCGTGCACAAAATTCGTGCTGAAAACCTATTAGTTGTGTCAGCTATGAAATATTATAGTGCTGATGTATTCTTTCATTCCCTTGTAGAAAACCGATCAACGGAGATAAGAGAGTGAAAAGTATGAATAATACGCAAAAGTCGCTCATATCTTGCGTGTAGTTACTTAAGCTATTTTGCTAATATTTATTTTCGTTGAAACAAATTTGCATACACGTATCTAAAAGTTCTGCAAAATCATGCAACTTTTTGTATAATTACATATCATAAAACAAGAATTAATGAAGTATGCTTACAAAATCACTTTCTACTGCTCTATTTCATCATGAGTGAATATCTAGACCCGCTTCCACTACACATAATTATTCCTTATAAGTACTGAATGACTAACGTCAAATAAATCAAACTGACTTAACAGATTTCTCTTGTTCGGTGTACCGCACCTTCATCTGGAACACTTAAAAGAGCGCTCGGCAAGCATAACTTAAAGAACGAAGTTCTGCAACAACAAATGGCTGTCCGGAAAGCAATAAAATCGAGAACAATCTCTTTTCGAGACAAATGGGATTTCAGGGGAGTGTCAAAGGTCGCTCCGGACATCTGTATGATCAGGGCGTGCCTCGGTGCGGAAGGGGCGCCGCCCCCATTCCGACGAAGAGGCGACCCTGGCGCACTCTGGGCACACGTGGGCGCGCCGCCCCACGCCCGCCCCACACCCTGTTCCGCGGCAGGCGTCATTAGCAAGGTACTTTCGGGCATTGTTCGCCGATTTCTGTTAAATTCCTCCTTCGGCGTGGACTATTGGGACGCATTAAGAAGATATATCGAACATTTCCTGGACTCAGGATGTAAAGAAAGCGTTTTAACGACCAGGGAGGAGACATCAATGCAAATGCTCATTTTAAATATTTAAATCCTGTCAGTCAGGATGTATGCTCACTTGCTACGTGCATGAAACTCACCATTTCCAGTTTCTTAAACACGATTCCGTGATGCACATTTGCACGTTTTGCCTATTTCTTAAAATGCATCATATTTCTGTATATTGCGAACTATTCAATATTTTTCCCATGAAAATGTCTATCGTTACCCATATTTGTGCATCTAGAGGCGACCCTGGCGCGTTTTAGGCACACGTGTGCGCGCCGCATCACGCCCACGCTTCGGATGGCGTCATTAGGACGGTTCTTTCATGCATTGTCCGCGGATTTCCATTGAATTCCTGCTTCGTCGTGATCTATTGGGAATCATTAAGATGATACTTTAACAAATATATTAACGTCTGTTACCTCGTATATTTCATTAATATCATTAAGAAGATATATCGAACAATTCTTGGAACCAGGATGTAAAATTCTTAGAAAGCGTTTAATGTATAGGGACCGGATTTCAATGCAAATGCTTATTTCCCCCAGCAGTCAGAAAGTACGCTCACTCACTACGTGCTTGAAATTAACCATTTTCGGTTATTTATACACGATTATGTACGCATATTTGCACATTATGCCTATTTTCTTAAAACGCATGATATTTCTGCACATTACTCATTTTTCTACATATTGTTCTTCAAACTATCGTCACTCGTCTTCATACACCGATAGGTGTCCCTGGCGCACTCTAGGCAAACGTCGGCGCATCACGCCCGCCTGCCACACACCATGTTTCATTTATTTATTTTTTCGTAATGAACAGTAAAAACTATGTGACGTATGGGTGAAAATAGAATACGCGCACGTTTTCTTGCGCTCTGGAATCCCCTTCACTCCGTTTCCCCCTAAATAGTTGAATGATGAATAACAGTACCAAGGACGTTAGTAACACTAGAATAAAGACATTTTCACTCCCCCGTTATTGAACATGGTTCGCATTGTTGAAAGAACTACAGACGTGTTAGTATTTATAAGAAAATTCAAACCACCCCCAGCTCTATTCCTCCCACAACTAAAAAAGAATAGCTCAAAAACCGTGTGTAAAGTGAAGTATATTTAAGTGGAGAAGGCAACCAAGGAGCCATCTCAGCATTCGTACTGTTCGGCTCTTCTCTGGCAGGCGTCATTAAAGAGAGTGCTTGCAGGTATTGTTCACTGATTTCTATTACATTCCTCCTCCTACGTGGACTATTGGGAATCATTAAGAAGATATGCTGAACAATTCCTGGAATCAGGTTGTAAAATTTGTAGAAAAGGTTTAATGCATAAGGATTTCAATGCAAAGGCACATTTTACAGCTGCCTGTCAGAACGTATGCTCTCTTCACCTCCGCATGAAACTATTTCCAGATATTTAAACATCATTTTGTGTGCGAGACTTGAACGCTCGGACCTCCAAGAGCAACGCTTCAGGATCAACGGCAATGTTGCCACTGAGAAACGCTTCAGTGGCGAGTGTCAGCCATCTCAGCCGATTCCATGCCAATGTTTTCCCAACATTTGGAGGAGCAAAATCGATTATTGGGGGGAGAGGACCAGAAAAATAGTATGGGGACAACAGGGAACTGCGACAATATTGATTAGTGGTTCCGGGCTCGTCAACTGCAAAGACCGTAAGTATAGTTTGCATCTTTACCTCCGGGAGGTGATGGTGACCTTCCGCAGGGTGGTGAGAACCGAACCCGACCTACCGCCGGCTAGTGAGTTTTTCCCAAACCAGGCATCTCCCACTAGCGGGGCACCGCCTCAGCTGGGACAAGCTCCAAGCCTCCCGCCATGTGCGGTAGTGTCGTGCGTGCTAGTGTGTGTGTAAGTAAGGGGTGAAGAAAGGACAGGGAAGAGGAAAGAAATACCGTGTGCGGTCTGTGGCCCGTTTGTTAAGGTATTGCTCCGGCATTCGTCAGGTATTGATCGAAGAAACCATTGAAAACCACCGGTCAGAGCAGCTGGCCGCTATAATTCTCCTCCAGAGATCTGAACTCGCCCTATCCTTCTCCTCCCCAGCTAGGGGAGAAAATCGTGCCACCGTCGGGGATCGAACTCGGGACCTCCCGGACAGAGACGCTGTAGTGAAACAGTTGTTGCCCTGAGCTAATCCAGCTGGTGAGCGCAGGCACCTTTGTAGTCAGCGGGAAGGCGAGGAGCGTGCGCCGCGGTTTACGACTGGAGCCTTTTACGAGAGTGGGTGGGATGCACGGGGGCGGAGGTATTGGGGGAGAGAGAGAGAGAGAGAGAGAGAGAGAGAGAGAGAGAGAGAGTGAAAAAGAGTGAGAAAGAGAGGGAAAAAGGAAGAGAGAGAGAGAGAGCATGAAAAAGAATGAGAAAGAGAGGGAAAAAAGGAAGAGAGAGAGAGAGAGAGAAACAGAAAGAGGGAGAGGAAGAGACAGTAAGTACTGTTATGAAAAACGGCAACATGAAATTACGTCTTCAATGTGTTTGTACATGTCTTGCGCAAAAACGCCTAGAAGAGAACGGGGTTCGATGACTTCCTGTAGTTTTACCACTGCACAAGAAGTCGAAAACTTTTAATCTGGAAGAAGAAACAAAATTGCAAAAGGATTTACCAATGTTTATCTGCCGAAGGGTTTCGGGTATTTTTTGGTTTATTGTATTTTTTCGGGTATCGAATTTCCTGCATTTGGGCTCATTGTGAATTGCTCTGAAAGTGTTCGAAAATGTCAGAAAATCTCTCCTTAGACTCGCAACAATTATGAAAAATGTATCACTAAAGTTTTCTAAAACGTTTTACAGTCACTTGATTAGACCTAATGTGGAGAATATTCTGAGGCCTCCGTGAGAATATTTTTTACTCTTTCAAAACTTCGTTGTGTCTATGGATTTTAAAATGCTTACAAACAATACTAAACATTCTGCAGGTATTGACTTGTGCAGTACGTCTGTGGTTTCCTTTCACAATGGTCACTAGTTCAGTTCTTTAAAAATCGAAGTCGTGGCTGGCAATCACGCGTCCTGTAGCTACAAAAGTGGTTTCACGAGTGTGGCAGACGAAATTTTCTTTCGCCATTGCAGTCTACGAGCTAAATCGTCCTCGCGTACTATTTGGACCGCAGCGAATTTTTTTGTCAACGGTTTCTTCGATAAGACACAGCAACATGGCGAATCACTTTGCATGAATCGCAAACGGTCTGCAGGGTATGCTTCTTTCATACTCCCGTCGATAAGCAACATC